GAATCCATTGTGTAAACAAGGATGAGCTTCAAGGGTAATGAATCTCAAAATCCTTTCTTCTCTTTAATGTAATTAAAGAGTTTTTTGGTTCACCATTTACTAGGCTTTGAAAGTCTTGGGTTTTAGAATTGTTTTTGAATGCATACCTTCTTTAAAGTGTTATTAGTTTGCTTATATGTTCAAATATTCTCACATGATCTTAGCTAGGACAAAATTTATCCTTCAATACCAACTTCAAGTTTTCACCTAACCTTCCATCACACTTTAAATACCAAAAGATAGAAGCACTGGCGGAGGCATCAAGGGACCATGATTGTCCTTGGCCAATCTAGATCTTGAAACAAAACATATATACATGTGTGTCTCTACCTTTTTCTCTTGCTCTAAAGCCCTCTTATTGTTCAACACTTCAAATAAATTCAATCATTAGCTCTTGTTATGGTTCTTTATCACAAATCAAACCCATCATTTACTTTTAATTATAAAAATACAAAATCTTGCCTCACACTCTAATCTGATTTCTTTTACCATACCATGCATTTGAGAGCTAGTCCCTATCTCATTCTCAAAATTTCTAATTTCATTTTTTTTGTCATTACATATTCCAAATTCAATCAACTTCTCAAAAAACTACAAATCTATTCAATAAGTAACAATAAGATTCGTAAATCCCTATCATTGTCTATAATTGTTATTTGTTTATACTCTATTCTACCTCTTACTTGAGTGTTAGGATTTGTAAATTTTTTCTTGATTCTCCTTATTGAGTTTAATAATTCTTTTAATAGTATAGATAACGAGGTTATCATGCTATTGTTTCAAAATGTAAAAACTCATCAAGAATAAATATGATTACGTTGGATATATTTTGGATTGTAATTTTATAGATACTAACTTTTTTTTCTTTTACACTGCAAGAGGCTCCTTCTTACAAGAATTCCTGGCTCCATCGCTGAATCGAAATGCTACATATAGTTTACCTACCGCACTGTACACATACATATAGTATTGTTTCCACCTTACCTTCCATCACATTTTAAACGCCAAAATATAGAAGTGCTACGTATAGTTTACATACCGTTGTACACATACCATTGTACACAGATACTTACAGTTTTACATACCGTATGTATACAGATACGTACCAAGCATGCATGCATGGACGCACAACTAATAATTGTGTATGTGAAAATATAACTAGGTAATTAAAAATTTAGAAATAGGTGGTTTCGGTAAGGGCCGGTTAAACGTGAAGTTTGATGATTCCATATTTATGATGATTTGACAAGACGAGTCAGAGTGGTTGTGTTGAGGGACATGACATGTGTGAATTGACCTTTCAATCCATCCCCAGTAGGCAGCAGGCAGCTGTGCCCAACACAGAGCCACACAAAATCTGAGACTCGAGAAACTTTTTAGTTTTTACCAGAAAACGGCTAAGACCCGTACCATGCATTCCAAACGGTGTCCATGGCCTTACTCACTTCCACTACCCTATACGTGTCGGAGACCCCTTGATTCCATGTCCTATCCTATCGCCCCCCATCATCTCTCTCTCAGCAGTGCCAAGTAGTAGCAGGCGGAGAGGCTGTCATTTTGTTTGTTGGAAATGGAATTAGATCCTTCCTGGATCTCCGAGATCCGAAGATCAATAATAATTGTTCATCAAATATTGTACAATTATAATTTAATATTTTTATAATTTTAAAAATAAAATAATCTTGCTTTACGTGAAAAATATAAAAAATAAAAAAATTATAGCTGCACAATCTTTGATGAACGGTTGTTATTCATTAATCTCGAGAATCCTAGTGAGAGGATCTAATTCAGTTGGAAATAGCTAGATGGCAGTAATTATGTATATTTTTGTAGAAAAATGATCCTCAGCAGCTTCTTTTTTTAGGAATCCTAGAGATCTAACAATCGTATCTATTCATCATATATCATACAGTCAGTTTTCATTAGGTACAATTTATATTTGAATTTTAAATTTTAAATGATTTCTGATCATATGATGTACAATAAATAGACACGATTACAGTATCATTAAGATTCTTAAGAAAATGATCCGATCCGATCCGATCCGATCCTCGCCGGATCCTTTTCCATTTTCGTATTAGTCAAGACGGGCACTGACTCCCACGTGCCAACTATCAGCTAATGACCCATGAAGACAGACACTGACAATTCTCAATCTCTCTCTCTCTCTAAACCGCAGTCATTGGCATGGGACTCTTCATTACAGCAGTTGAGAGAGACAGAGACTATACATCTATATGCATCTTACCAACTCATCATATCATACGTCCAATCTTTCTACCAAAGTGCCCCATCCCTAGCCACTTTTATATTCCTTTTGCCTTTTACCTATATCTCAGATTCTGAGATTTCAACCAAAGTTTAACCTATCGATCACTGAAATGAACCATCTCTTCACTTCACCTCGATCCTCGTCCTCTCTCTCTCTCTCTCTCTCTCTCTCTCTCTCTCCAAAAGAGGTAAAGACCGTACTGTTTCACTGCAGTTAGGAGCCTGTGACCCTTGGATATTAGGTTATTGCTGCCAGCTGACATTTAAACATCAAACCCTGTTTTTCTTTCTGTTTTCTGCTTCTTTTAATTTTCCTCCAAATATTTTTCTATGTTATCAACTATCTATATATAAACTCGAAAAGTTAGCCCCTACCATACTCCCTTTCTCTCACTGCAAGATGCAGAATGAATCTCAATTATGGTGACATGATACAGAAACCAGCAAAGAGTTTGATGACAGTTATATATGTTAGTGTGGTTTATATAAAGGCCCTATAAAAAGGATTTGGATTCTCTCTCCTGAGTTAATGAAAAGGATCCTCCTGATCAATCATCATAGATAGTTAGATTTTTATCCAACAATTACAATCATTATAACTTTTAAAAGGACCTCTCTGTTTGTAACCGTTGAATAAAAATCCAACAGTTCATGATGATTGATCAGGAAGATCCTCTTCATTAGCTCAGGAGAGGATCCAAATCCCTATAAAAAAATAAAAAAAAAAGTCTAGGTATTAATGAGGAACTGTCGTGTAAAACCGCCTAGTATTTTTTTTATGTTTCTAAATCTGCTTTTATGGGTTAATTGATGAGTTCATACTTACCCCCATGTCACATCCATGTAAACTGTATTGGGCACAGTCAATCGCAATTTGTGTTGGATCGTTCATCAATTAATTTCCAGAAACGACAAGGTTAGGCAACGTACGCCCCCTCACCCTGCTCCCTGCTTCTTGTCTGCAGAATTGTCTCCATGAATGTTGTTTAGGGTTTGGATCAGCAATTTGAATTAAAAGAATCTTGTATATAAATATATTTATTTGTCTTGACCAAGTAAATTCTTGTAAGGAACAACAATGTAAATGTTAAGTTTGTACAGGAATCCTCAAGAAAATCTTTTTCCTTTAATTCACTTTTCATTAACTTTGATCCTATTTTTTTACATTGTTAAATAGTATCAAATTTCGGAGTAAAACCCAAAAAATCCTAGCGATCGATTAATCAAATCCTAAACTAGAAACCTATATAGCCCAAGCTCTTGTTTTTTGGTCCTTTATATTTCAAACTCTAACTATATAATTCAAACCCTTGGTAGAAGTAAATGTTTCTCATGCGGCTTGTCTTTAAGAAAGATATAGGTAATCCACAGAGATAAATTATTAAGTACTATATTGTAGAGAATAAAGTAAAAATAAGTGGATAAATGAGGGAATAGATGTTTGGAACCTAATCACCAAGAAATAATAGAGGTAAGACGCAAGTTAAAGACTGTTGTGAAAGAAACTAGCCTCTTGACATGTGCTCACACGTTTATGAAAATAAAAAAATATTGACAATTCATATCATTCACAAACCCCTTTCTTGATACATTTTGCATGAATTCTGGAAAGTAAAAAAAGTGAGGATTTTGCAAAGCTTATTAATTTGGTAGTGGATTATGAAGTAGGCCTCCTTGATGAAAGTTTTGGTAGTACGGATAGTTGGATTATAATTCTATATATCTGCTTTTAAAAACCACAAAGTAAAATTTATGCCCAAAACTAGAAGTTAATTGCTTTTACTGTCATAGAAAAGAGTGGACAAGTATTAGCAAAATTGGCAAGTGGAATTGATAAGAATCCATTAAAAGAGTTATTAAGTAAAGGTGAATAAAGGATACGAAATCTTCAAGCACCACACCAACAACTAATTTTATAATATTGTTGAAAAAGGAGAAGTATAATTTTGCCAGCTGCTAGTGACCACAACAAAATCCATAATTTTAATCCCCTCCAATACAATATAAAGAAGTTGTACATAGTTTTGACCTATTCTGATCCTAACTCATTTTTGGTACATATTCACTTTAGTAATTTCTTCCTGTATCGTTTCTAAAATCCCGTCTTAAGAACTTATGATCGAAGACTTGAATAGTCTTGGACTGATCACATTACAAAATGAACCACAAAATTACATAAAACTTGGATGCATATATGACTTCACATCAGAATTCCCATGCATGCACAAAGTATTGTTGCGCTCAAGTCTCAACTAGTCTCATATACCTTGACGTATGATGGCTGGCGAAAGATACCATGTCTAGATCGCGCTCTCTAGTAAACGACATGTTGCAACATATAGAATCATATTACATTATTTTTGTATATCAATTTGCAGCAAAAGCAACACTTCATGGCACAAAATTCCAACTAATATACAGTGCATATAAAAATAAAATATTAAATAGAGTGACCACGGTTACATTCAGTTTCAATACGGTCAAACCAAAAGGCATTAAACGTAGACGCCAAGAAATTCACCTCTTTGTAGACATGGCTCCATGAAATGGTATCAAACGTAGACGTCAACCACTTGATATCTTCAATAATGTTCCACAATCGTCAAGGGTCGCGCATAACCCTTTGATTGCATCAATAACAAGTTTAGAATCACCTTCTGCACAAATGTTTTTGAATCCTAGTTCTTCCTTTAGCCAAACAAAGGGCAACCTTCAAGGTGAAAGCTTCCGCTACTGAGATGATGTTCTCTCCCAGGCCTCTTGCTAGATCCAGCAACAATTGACAAACCTTCTTCATTTCTGATCACAAAGCCGGCCGCCACCTTGTAGTTAATAACAGACCCATCAAAGTTGATTTTCAGCTGCCCTCTTTGTGGAGGTTCCCATATAATTTTCAGTTTTTGTTTTCTAGCCAACTTATTTCCACTGTTTTCTATTAGGAGAAGGTTTTTCCTTCCTAAATACCACATGATTTCTATCTTTCCACATTTGCCAGCAGATTAGTAGGGCCTTGCTAAGGTTCAAAAGTTTTCCTTTACCTGATGCATCAAGCTTACTCAACCAATCTAACAGACCATTACGATTATTATCATTAACAGGTGATATCAGGGGTTGTAACCCAAACCCTGTCTTGCAAAATTACACTTGATAAACAGATGATCTTGATCCTCACTCTATATTACAGAAAGGACGACAGTTAGGACAAATTGAGCTAATATGTTTATGTAAGTGGGTTTGTAACCTATTCAGGATCATTAACCAGCTAAACAGTTTGACCTTGGGAATATTCGTTTCCACATATTTGTTAAAAAAGAAAACCTTTTGCGAGCAGTTTGCATCCTTAAGGGTTTGAACGGCCCAAATTTGTTTATGAAACGTAAGTAACGAAGGAACCAGGAAATTTTCAACCGTGGTCTAGTATTTTTCTTCGTACAAATATTTAAGTGAAATTCGGTAATTTCTTTAAGAACTATTATTGACACTTTAAAATCTCATTTCACACTCTTCATAAGTGTATTTTTTTTTTCTCTAAATATAGAAAACTTAAGAGTGCGAAACAAGAATTATGGAGTGCTAATAATAATTCTTTCTTTCTTTTTCTTTTTCTTTTTTTTTTTTTTATATAGAAGAACAAAGTTTGAAGTATTTTTGGTTTTGAGAGCTTCTGAATAAGAAACATTGGCCACTATCCCAAAAGCTTCTTTAAACACCATTGGAGTCACCGCTTAGTACTACTGTCTAGTGGTATTTCTCTTCACTTGTAAATAAAATATTTTAAATTTGATTCTCACCAAAGACGAATTTGAACCACATTATTGCTAGCCCATTATGAGGTTAGACCCATCCTCTCTCCGTTAGTATAGATAAAATTGTTTGTTAAAAAAAAACATTGGAGTCAAAATTCAGTTCCACTAGCTAAGCACCCAACAACCATTAGCAACCATACCAAAAGCACACGGAACGGAAAATTCTTCAAATTTTTGTCACCAAGAAAATGAAGAAAATTTCTCTTATATTTTTATTGAATAAAACAATTGAGCTAAAACACAAGTTATCACAATTTATTTGGTATATGCATTGCGGATAGTTGAAAAATCCAAATGCTATTTTTCTTCTAAAAATGACATCTTCTCTTATTGGTGAGTTTTTCTTTTAGACTCGAACGATATATGTGAGTTTAACTATTTGTTGCATTATAAAAAAGAAATATCAAGGGCGATGACTTATTAGTAAAAAAGTTTTAGTATGGAGTGAGATGTAATGGGTTTGTAGCCTACTTTATGAATAGTCTTCGTATTGTTGTACTTGATTAATGTTCTAAGGGCCTGTTTGGGATTGAGGTGATTAAAAAAAAAAAGCTACTATGAAAAAAAGCTATGAAAATTTTTGGTGTTTGGTAAACTTTGAAAAGCAGCTTTGTTTCAAAGTTGAGGGTGAAAAAAAGCCCAAAACCAGGAGATGACAAGAAGTTGCAATTTGTAGCTTCCGAAAGCAGCTTATTTTCACCCACACACGGGTGAACAGTGTACACGTTTAATGAAATATGAATAACCCAAAACCCAATTCAGAAATTTGAGATTCCAGTTCAATACCTTGTTCTTATCAATCCTCTTGACCGCAACTTGATCCCCATTTGCCCTATCGGTTGCAACGTACGTGTACCCAAATTGCCCGTGACCCAACAACTTCCCGATCGTGTACCGCTTATCGAAATTCTTATCGTACCCAAAATCGGTCCGCATTCCACAGGGAATGACCCCCGTCCGGCTCCTGGAGTTGAGCTTGTTTTTGGGTTTATGAACAACCTGCTTCTTGGGCGGTTCATTGGGTCCGTGGGAGGGTCTCTGTTCTTGCTTCCCGGCCGTTGTGCTCTGTTTTCGGTTGTGATTGGAGCCAGGGGTGGCGGGCGCAGTGTTGTTACTATTTGAGCCACTGACTTTGATGGTGGAGCACCCTTCCATGGTTGACCCAGAAGATAAAAAAACTGAGAAGGGAAGAGAGGTTTACTTTTCAGAGGTTTTGATCGAAAACCATTGCTGGCGGAGAAGGAAATGGATCATTTATGGAAAGGATCAGAGAAACATTGGAGCAGATAGGAGGAAAGATTGGAGCAGATAGGAGGAACAAGAGAAGAAAGAGAGGGAGGAGAAGGAGGGGATGGTCAAAAGAGGGTTCTTATGATAAAAAGAAAAAAAATTAAAATTGAGAGAGAGAGAGAGAGAGTTGGCGCGGACGTTATTATTATACTTTCAAAACAGATTTTCTGAATTTTCCTTATGTCTTTGAGTGAAATAAACTATTTAACATCTCAGTACTATATTTATTATTTGTTAAATTAATAGCACATCTAGTAATATACCCTTTTTGATCATTTCACACAGTCACAGCTGTTTTACAAAAAAGTTTACCAAACACTATGATACTGCTTTTTTTTTTTCCAAAAGCACTTTTACAAAAAAGTTTACCAAACATTTTGCTACTTTATTTCACAGCCGCTTATTCTCACAGCACAGCCGCTTATTCTCACAGCAGCTTTTTTTTAAAGCACAACAATACCAAACCAGCCCTAAGTCGATTAATTTCTCCTCCAATATCGTTTATATAAAAGAAAATCATTGATGGATTGTAACTCTCTTACATATTCTTAATTTGTGGTAGAGTAATGTGAGTAATCTAAATGATTTTAGCTGGTTGGTGACTTCATAATCAAGTCAAATGATGAAAACCATTAATTCAAGCTGGTTACCAAATCTAAATCATTTGTTTTACTTCTGGTGTACAAACATGTGGCTCCAAATTAAACAAGCTAAAGAATGACTTAAATTTGTCCAATGTGTCCATGCATATGTACATAGCAATAATCGAGTTCATAAAATCCCAACAGAAGTGGCAAATTATAAATGTATGTCCAGTTTGTCTTCGATAAAAGGCTAAATTTTTAGCAAACCTTAAACGCCAGAAGAATAAGAAGAAATAAGGAGCCAAAGGTCAAAACCTGAAAGGGCAGTGCAACTGAAATAAATATTAAACTGATAATTAATGGGGTTTATAATAAGATAATCATAATATATTTGTGGGGCAAAGGGGACAGCGTGGGGTTGTCCTGTCATATCACCTTCTCTTGATTTATCTGAGAAGAATAAATGGGTTAGTTGAGAGCAAGTTCATTTTTAAAAAAAATATGCTGGTACTTTGTTCATTTAATTTATTCAATGAATAGTGATAAACTTTACGAGCAATAAATTAGCCAAATGTTTTACCACTCCTAAAAAATGCGTTGGCACAAAGTTTAAAATTGCCCTGGTACAAACGATCTCCACCCTTACAAAATACGCTAGCATCCAGCCCATTTAAAATATTAAATAATTATTTAGGAAAACTAATGAAAATGATTTGAAAACTTTAAATTTTAATGATAAGGACAAAATAAAGAGTAAAGTAAATAGTGCCAAGATTGACTTTTTAATGTAAAATTGTGATTTTTCGTTAAAGTGAACAATACTGAGAGTTTTTTTGTTAAAGTTCCCTAATTATTCTATAACATAATAAATTTTAAATTTAGTGTCAATTCCGGATAGGATTTTTAACCAATTTCATCATGCCACATGTCATTATTCAAATGTACTATTTTGTGAATAGATTTCCGTTAAGATTTTTAACCAATCGTGACACGCCACGTATCACTATTTGTTTACAATAATTTAGCCACGATTTCAATAAGATTTTCATCCAATCTTGTCATGCCACATGTCTTTATCCGAACGTACTATTTTGTGGATAGATTTCTGATTTGATTTTCAACCAATCTTAACGCGCCACGTATATCTGTGTACAATAATTTAGCCAACATTTCGATAAGATTTTCTACCAATCATGTAGTGTCATGTGGCATTGTCCAAAACCTCATCCTTTCTTTTTTTGTCCATATAAACCCTACATCCCTACATCCATCATCATTCACACACCAAACTCAATCCTTCTTTTTAGCTCAGAATCCTTTTTCATCATTTTTAAATCTTGAGTTCTTACAATGTCTTCTTCAAGGAGATTGTCCAAACAATTTGAGGAGCAACAGAAAAGATTGTTGGCACAACAAGAAGAATTGTTCTATCTCGAGGAAGGTGGAGATGAAGCTTTCGCAATGGAGGAGGATGAGGATGATGAACATAGAAGGCAGAGGGCCTCACATTCCTACCATGTCATGGCAATTGTGGGTCAAATATCCAAACCCAGACATGCTACAAACTTAGATAGAAAGAGGGAAAGACGAGGTAAATGTCTCTTGGAAGATTATTTTGTCCTCAAATTTGTATTCCCTGATCATGTTTTTAGACGTCGTTTTAGAATGTAACGAAGTTTGTTCGACAAAATCATGAGTGCTATTTGCAACCATGATCCATACTTTGTGCAAAAAAAAGAAGAAGATGTTTTTCATGTTCTAGGTTTTCTTCCTGAGCAAGAAATTATTGTTGTCTTGCATATGCTTGCATATGAAGCATCTACAGATCAAGTGGATGAGATAATGAGGATAGGAAAATCAACTATTCTGGAGTCCCTGATGCGATTTTTCTCTGCAATTGAAGCCCTCTATACCAATGAGTACCTCCGGACACCCACGCCAAGGGACTTGCGAAGGCTACTGAGGAAGGGTGAGATGCGAGGCTTCCCTGGCATGATTGGAAGCATTGACTGTATGCACATGACCTAGAAAATTTGTCCAAGTGCATGGCAAAGAGCTTATGGTGACAGAAAATATCATTTTGGAAGTGATGGCTTCATTCGATACATGGATTGGGCATGCATTTTTTGGTGTTCCACAAGGAAAATCACCCAAAGTCAAATATTGGGTCAATGGCCATATATACGAATGGCCGTACTACCTTGTAGACGGCATTTACCAAAGGTGGACAACGTTTGTCAAAACAGTGCCACATCCACAATGTGAAAAAGAAAAACACTTCGCACAATGTCAAGAGGAGAGTATGAAGGATATAGAGCGTTGTTTTGGTATCCTGCAACCTTGTTGGGCGATTGTCAAGTGAGCTGCTAGAATGTTAATGTCGAGGCTCTTCGATCCATCATGATGACATGTATCATTCTCCACAACATGATTGTGGAATATGAGTATGATTATGATGCCGTCAATGAATACGAGCTGGACACAATGAACAACTGAAGAACACGTATCTATTGTGCTCATGATGGCACAGAAGATCCCATGCAACACAAGCCATTGGAACGGGATGAACGTTATAATCAATTTATCGTTGAGCGCTACACTTCAATGCAAGAGCCATACTGGCACTGTACCCGTCCAAGTGACTTAATTGAGCACCAGTGGGGATTGCAACAAGGTGAAGATAATTAAAAGGAGTTTGTGGTGGAAGAATAAAGTTCTTGGTTTATTTAGTGTGTTTTTTTAAGTTTATTTGGTGAGTTTATTTAATTTTATTTCGTGTGTTTTTTTAAGTTTATTTGGTGTGTTTAAATAAAGTACCAAAAATATTTAAGAAATTACATTTATTACTAAAAATAAATAAGAAATTACATAAAGTGCTACAAATAAATAAGAAATTACAGAACATACTAAAAATAAAGATGAAATTACATAAAGTACTAAAAATTAAAACGAAATTAAATCAAGTACTACAAATAAATACGAAATTATACAAGTATGTGGAGCTAGGATCTGTGGTGCTAGGATCTTCGTTGCTAGGATTTGTGTAGTTAGAACCCCCATTTACTTGTTTCCGCATCTCTTGCACGCCTCCTTCACACCACGCCTCTTTTTTTCGATGTCCAAAAATATTTTGAATTCGGAGATAGTCCTACTAGGGGCTTGTTCATAGTGTCACAATCTGCTTGAGCCGTTATTTCTTCTCTAAGCATCTCGTTTTCTCGATTAAGTGCTTCTCTAATCATCTCACTTTCTCGATTAAGTATTTCTCTCTGTCTCTCAGCCGTCGCATCACGTCTATCAGTAGCTGCTAATATTGTTGCCATAGCAGGAGCTTTTCCTCATTTCTGGTCGCTTTCTGCGCCATGTTCAGTTCACCTTTGCGAGCAAGTTTGTCCATAAATTTTGTGTAGTCATGTTTGGAAGAACTCCCTTTTTTCTTTGCCACCTTTTTACTTTGAGGCCTTAGGGACCAACAAGTCGGCTAGGTCTTCAGCACTTCTTCGGGCGTCCCTTCTGGCACTTATTCAAATGTGTCTTCTTCCTGTGCGGCTGTGTTCAATTTTGATGAACTGTGTAAAGGGACGCCGTGCATGACAACTTCTGGACCTGTTGGCACAATTTTGTATATTCCCATTTGTTGTGGTTCTTTGAATTGTAGAATGCTTGTGCTTGTAGTGTCTACAAAATGTGGGATAAGCCAATATTATAAAATGTGGGTATAACACAAATAAATAAATTAAAATATTGATGCAGGTGGAGTACATATAAATAAATAAAAATATTATCACATGATCCGCTAAACTTGTCCCACTATGTAAATTAGTGGAAGCAATTGAGAGAGCGTTTTTCAACAAGTGAAGGATATGTTGAGTTTTTTTCAACGCTCTTGAAGACCTTAACTACTTCTGGCGTCTTTTCCAAGCCTTGCGCAAAATACTTCCGTAATTCTACTCCACATTTCTCGCAACTCCATCTCATTACCTGTAATTGGGTCATGAGTAATTTGAACCTAACATTCACACAACGTAACATCTTTGATGAGCTTCCACGTAGCCATTTTTTTCGCACAAAAAGTATATGAAAGCTTTGGTAGAAAGTGTTGAAAATATTGAAATGTGGTGTAAAAGTGGAAGATGATGGTCAGGTATTTATAGGAAAAAATAATACTTTTTAAAAATTTTTCCTATGTTTTTAACAATTTTTAATAATTTTTTATTAAGTAAATTAATATGGACCGTTGGATTTGAAAAATATTCAAATCCAATAGCCCAGATGTTGACA